TGGGTTAGTCTCACTGCAATCGAGAGCTAGGGCAGGATTACCAGCAATCGGGACCTGGGGCGGGGGGTGCATCCGATGCCTTGACAGGGTGCAAATGCAGGTGCCGGCCAATGAATTCGCGCGAAAAGCAGTCGGCTTTTGATTTGCCAATCGTTCGAGATCTTCGCCAAGCGGACATCATGGAGTGCCGTACAGACTCTCGGCACACTATTACGACCAGGTCCTCCGAGCATCAGTTCAGCTCCGACAGAACCAGAACCCATCGTCCACGCCTACAAGGTCTAACCACCCAGGTATTACCAAATGACAAACTCTCACGTCCTTCGTGGTCTGTCCGTGTTCGCATTTTCACATCGCATACGAACGAGCCAAACGTGGACGCGAATCAACTAATTATCATGAGCTCGTTGTAAGACATTCTATCAGTACACGAGAACCAGCCTTAATATCCCTCCGTCTCGCGGCTCGCCTGCGTCACGCTCGCAGGCGGCACGTTGCCCTCGGCGGCGATGCTCCCAGGCACCGATTCGGGTTCGTAGTAGTCCTCGCCCTTGAACTTGCTGCCTCCAGGGCCGGGCGGGTTGCGGCCCACGTTTGTGATGGAGGCATCTTCGCCTTGCAGCAGGGGATCAGGCTTCTGGCCCTGTGTCCCGAGAGAGTCGATGCCCGGGATGCGGTACACGTCGCCATCGTTGGCGCCGCTGGGCGCGTTGGCGTTAAGAGCGGCTGCGGGGCCACCATCGCCTTTGTTGTGATCGTAGAGCTCGCCGCGTGCTTGGCTGGTGGGTCTGTGAGTTAAATGGTGTCCAGTTGTAAAGTACACAGTAATTCTTACCGTCCGCGGGCGTCAAGATCGCCACCCTCCTCGGGAGGAATGCGCTTGTTGTAGCCGGCATTTGTGGAGAGGTCGTCGCCGTACTTCACATCCGCGCCGGGAAACTTGTTCTCAGGAATGGACCGAACGCCGGCGGCGTCGTCGGCCTGCTCGCGGGCCTCGCCCGTCTTAGCCTGGTAACTGTTGAGGTCGGCCTCGGCATCCGCCGCGATCCTGTTGAGCTGTTCGTCCGAGGGTGCAGACATGTTTAAAGGAGCAGCAGAGTGTCAATGATTTGTCGTTTTCGTGAGGAAGGGTAAGAGAGGCGAATGGTACCATGAACGCCTCAAAGCAATTGAGCGGCTGCTTTGAAGTATTTGAAGGCTGGCGCGCCTCAACACATCAGGACCCCTATGATCTCATTCCTCGTCATTTTGACTGATATCACGATGCTCCTCTCTGATGGTCATGATTTCGTGATATCCATCAACTAGTGGTCCCCCTGTGGAGAAGGTCTCCAACACACGGAGGTCAGCTCCGGTCAACGTAGCATCACCTTGGCGTCGAGCATCACTACTGATCGATCGCTCGTTAAAAATCTTTCGAGATTCGGAATCGCCGATGCTGCCGCTCCATCATGTGGATTGGTGGTGGTAGGCTGAAGCCGATACGATGCTGAGGTTGAACGTCTACAGCGGAACGCGCTTCACGATACATTTCACAGGGTACATGCATGTTCCTCAGCATCGGCACTCCAAGCTTCATTCAGTACGGCGTTGCCAAATGTGATAGGTGGCGCAGTGTGACACTTCATTGTGATATAAAAGCCGTCGGCGGCCGGAAAGTTTGCTATAATGGCTGCCCGATGCGCTTGCCAGAAGGCAGCTGGACTGCACCGCCCAGGCTTAATTCGAAAACCTTCAATCGTAAAATCTCATCCTGTTGTCGCCTCCATTCCTTGCATCACCCCTCCGCTAACCGTCGGTGCCGCTGCTGCGGAACTTGGCGCACAATGCCGCGTAGTGATGCGTCAGGTCGAGGACGTTCTGAGGCATGCTCGTGGCCTGGATGATGCTCCGCACCTTGACGGCACCCTCATCTTCGATGAGCGAGCGGACGGTGCGGAGCAGCTCGGGCGAGAACTCGGAATACCATCTGTACTGCCACGTCACCAAGCGAATAAAGGCCGCGACGGCTTCCCTTGTGTTCTTGTTGCGCTCAAATACGCGCAGGATGCCGGCCAGCGCCTTGGGGCTGAACCTTGCGGCCAAGCATGACCGGTAGGCCTCCATTGCCTCGTCCGTGTGCTGGAGGCGCTCTGCCAGCGACCCGAGAATTTCCCACTCCTCCGCCGACTTGCGGTACTGCATCGACTGCGCGCGGTACTGCGCCATCTGTGTGCGCCAGATGGTGTAGACGCGCAGGTCTTCGTAGAGCACCATGAAAAGGCTGTCCAGCCAGCGCTCGCATAGACGCTTGTTGTTGAGCTTGGAAAGATGCTCATCGTTCTGGTGGGTCTACATAGTTAGTACGGGCTTCAAATGCAATCGGGGGAAGTGGCGACCTACAGCCTCAGGGTCAGCCTTGACCTCGCCGGGATCAATGGCGTGTGTGGGCTTTTCAACCGCGGCGGCACCACCGTCAACGGCCTCCCCATTAACGGGCTCTGGTGCATCACCTACAGTCTTCTTCTCGTCAACGGCGTCCTCGTCATCGGTCTGCTCTCCGTTCGTTGTCGGATCCGGCGTGCCTCGAAGACCATCGGTGCTGGCGGTACGCTTAATGTTGTTCGGCTGCGTCGACTCCTGCTTCTCGGTGCGATACTCATCCTCCATGACGAAGACGGTGCTTCGAATCTTGAGGAGCTGGTCCCAGCCAATCTTCTGCGCCATCTCCGTGAGAATGCTGTACGCCTGTTTAAAGGTTCCCTTGTACACTGAAGCACGAAGGTTCAGCAGGCTAGGATCGACCTGCTCAGAGTACCTTGATTCCGGCTCGCTGTCAATCTCGTCGAGGCGTGTCTCTGGCAGCGTTGGGAGATGGACATCCTTTGGTTCTGGCATCTGCGGCGCATCCTTGTCCTGGTAGGTGAACATGGGACACGAGTTGAGAATCGTCAACGCATTCTCCCAGTCCTCCATGGCAACATAGACCTGCGCGAGGCGAGCCCAGGTGCCGAACTCGCTGGGCGCAGCTATTGTGCTGCGGTCCGCGCATCCTAGCGCCATGCGAAGGCGCTCTTCCTTCTGCTCAGGGTTGGCCGCAGACTCGGCCTTCTTTAGGAGAAACTCGGCCTGCGTGTCAAGCATCACGTAGTCCATCGGAGATTCCTTCAGAGCCTGGTGAAGAACACGAATGCCCTGAACTTCTTCGTTGCCCATGAATAGAACCTTGGCGAGAAGGGAGGAGACCTCGACGTTTTGGGTGCGCAGCTTCTCAAACAGGTTGATGCCCGATGCATAGCGACCGGTGGTCTGGAAGTACTTCAGAAGGCCCGTCGTGAGATGGTTCGAGACGCTGTTAGGTACTTGAACGACCGAATCGGAGCCCAGCTGCCAACCTACAAACGTTAGATTGCATCGTGCAACAAGCGCTGGATGCACCTACCTCGGAAGAAGAGCTGCTCGGCAGCGTTGAGGAACCGGTGTTCCGTCTCCGTGTTTGTGACGGGGTTGAAGCGTCGCACACCCATGATCTTGCGAATCGTCTCTCCGCTTCCGTCGTCCGCGTACGAGTAGGCGCGCAACACGCTGCAGAGATATGTCTCAAGCCAGAGCTCGTCGGTGGCCTTGCGTTTCTCTCCGCGCTCATCTACGCAGTAGCTTTCGACCGAGCCGGGAATCGTGACGTGCACGCGCATGTCGAGTCGGGAAAAGGCATTGTAACAGCTGCGTCTCGTCAGCGACAGATTATTTCGGTTGTTGAAAAGGTCACTCACCAGTAGAGCCCCTCGACAATCTTGATCTGCGCCGACGGGCCATGCTCTCGGTACGTCAGAGTATTGATGTAGGCGGCGAGACTGGCAGAAGAGGAGGCCTCGACACCAGTAACGTGGTGATAGACACCAATCTGCCGAGTTTGTCAGACGGTTCTGCTGCGATTCACAAACGTGCCAATCTACACACCTGCTTGCCCTGGTTACCCTTGGGTTGCTTCAGGAGATGCACAAGATCTGGGGGTCCGAGTTCGCGCAGGGATATCAGCGAGTCGGTTCTGGCGTCGATCGATTCGTGAATGTGCTCCTCGGTGAGCCTGTCAATGTCAGCGTGCTGTCGTATTCCCCCCTTTCGCATCGGACGACGTACTCGGGAACCGCTGGCGAAACCATGATGGTAGCCGAGTCTCGGTGAGTGAACACCGCGGGCGCTCGTGTCTCAAGCTTGGATCTGTCGAGTACTGGGTGTTATATCTGTTCGCGCTGAGTGCGAATTGGCGTTTTCAGTGGTGTGCCTGTTGGCAAAGGGGGCGGGCCTTGTGATGGACGACGGTGGGATGGCCGGGGGGGGGTTATCAGTTGCGATCGTGCCTGGGAATCCAACAACGAGCTGCTGTTCATTTGGCGGCGGGTTGGAGCTGCGGGAGCTTGCACGGACCCTCCCCATCGTGCTCGGTGCCTGGCGGAAACGCTTGGCCATACAGCCTTGTTGTCGCCACAAATCGTGTGTCTGGTACGCCACATGCGCTGTCCTTCAGCCTGGCAAGCCTGGCTTTCATCAGCAGGGATGTACCTGCTCCAACTCTCCGTCGCGTCTCCAATTCGAGCCAGCGACGCGAAGAAAGGAAGTTTCGACGCTTGAATTCGAACCATGAACACATAATTATACAAACTCCATCAACGTCCGGGCTACGGCTCTCTGGGATTCCTCAATACAAGCGGTTCCCCTCGAAATTTCGTTTACACGCCGAAATCATGGTTTGTAGTCTGATCCTGAGCGCCGTTGGTTCAAACTAACAGCCCGTGAAAGCCAGCGTTCCAAGCCATTAACGTCGAGCCGGAGGAGAACCTTGACGACGAGATTGATAACACGCGACAAATCCATATCGACGAGGCCTTGAAGCGCTTCCAGACGGCCCTCAAGCTTCATGCGCAAGGCCCTCGATTCTTTGATGAAGCGACCGATGCATACGATGACCTCTTCAAATCCGACATCTTTCAATACCCTGAAGCCGCGACCGAGTACGAACGAGCCGAGCTGCCGGCAAGCCAGCTTGCTGTAGAGGCCTCTTTCGCTGCTGGTATCGACATACAATCAGGAGAGGTAGACGGAGCGGACAGCACTCTCCCCCAGGCGCTCTTCCTGGCGCACAAGAACCACGGACAATTCCTCCTCGACCGGATAAAACACACGGCTCGCAGGACGGCTGTTCCACCCAAGGCATTCTTCCAGCAAGACGACGTCAAAGAGCAAGCGCAGAAGGCGCTCCTCGATTTCAATGCGGCTCTCGATCGCGACCCCTCGGATGCCGAGCTCTGGAGGCGAATCGCACGAGTGGCAGGTTATCTCAACAGTGGCCGCATCAGGCGATACTGCCTCGAGGCAGCCATTGAGCTTGACGACGATCCGACCGTCGAGGAGGTCGAGCCCCCGTCGCTGGCGGAGGGTCTCGCGGGCGAGGAACTGAAGGAACATCTCCAGGTCTTGTCAGATGACATGGGTCTGTCGCACCCCATCCTGGGGCCCTGGGTCAAACACGACATGCCGGCGCTCATCAAGCGCCATCTCGACCCCATTCCGTTCCTGCCCAATCCGACGAAAAGTCTCGAGGCGACTCGATCAATCCTCACCGTGTCAGAGTCCAAAATATCGATCCGCTGTCCCACAGCCGCCTGGTCCGAGCTGGGCATGGCCCTTGTGCAGCTCGTTGCCGAGGTGGGCTTCACGGGCAAGGGTATTACGATTGACCTTCCCAATAGCGAACCCGACGAGGAAGCAATGGACATCACGGATGCCATACAGAAGCAGCTCAATGAGGAAGTCAGCAGTGCGGCCGTTGACGTTGGTCTGCCGGATGCCATGGATGTGTCGGACTCTGCGACCAAGACGGAGGCTGCTGACGAGAGGGCAGCCGCCGATGGACTTAAACCTCGAAGCGAGGCCGCATCGGCCCCAGCGAGGAAGCGGTCTCAGTCGGTTGCCGGTCTCGCGGAGGCAGGCGAAGACGAAAACGCTGGCGAGAAACGCAGCAAGAGAATCAGACGCAGGGAGACGGCTGGCGCCGGAGAGGTCGTCAACTCGAGCGCACTGCACGCGACGCAGCTCGCTCAGTACCAGGCGGTGGATCAGCACCTGTTTCAAAAAACAAAAGACGTGCTCGAGAACATTGGCGTCACGGACCAGTCGGTCCTGGACCGTATCGGCGAGATTCTTGAGCTCTGCACGTCTGAAGATCGTTCGGACAAATTAACGAGCCAGGCCACCATTGACCTCAAGAGTACGATTACCTCCTTTAATGCGGACAATGCCAAGATTTTGATCAACAAGAAGGAGACGGACACCCTCGGAATGTCTGCCTTCCTCGAGCACGCGAAAGGCGGTAACCAAAAAGTCTCGGCATCTCCGGCCTTTCGCGAATCCCACGGCCTCGGTTCTTTCGCCAAACGCCTCAACGCGGGCTGGACCACAGTCCAGGACATGGCTTGGGAATGGCTCAAGACGATTGCTCCAAGCTATGTTGAGTACAAGTGGTCGGACATGATGAAGGCAGCGGTCGTGCATGTCATTAGCCGTTTCGATCAGGATATCTACGAAATGGCAAAGTATGAAATTGAAGCCGCTGCACAGTCGAAGCAGGAGCTGATGAGAATTCACAACCTTGTCGAGATGCTCTTTGAGCTCCACCTCGACATATACGAACGCATTACCAATCCCAATAGCGCTGTCGAGTATAGTATCCGAGTTGAAGCTAAGGGGCGTCTTGCGCGATGGCTTGCCTTTGCGTCGGAGCTTTTTCAAGCCTGCCTCGACCCCAGGAGCGATCTCGCCGCCAGGTTCCTCTGGGCTGCCGTCTTTTCGACGACCCTCACCGACAATGTCTCACGCGAATACATTCTACAGTGCTGGACCAGCCTGCGCGACTTTCTCACAGACGAAGGAGTCGAGGCGCTCTTTCTGCAGAACAATGCTGTCCTCACGGAAATCTCGTCCCCTGCCGCTGACCGAGAGATTTCCAAGCTGACGACAATGGACTTTTTCTTGGGCCTCTTCCAGGACGATATTAGCGATCCCGTGGCCATTATTGACAATCTCGAGCCAGTCTTGAACGCCGACTCTGTATATGTGCCCAGAAGCGACAGCGATGGGGAAGCCATCTCGGGGAAGAACAAGAGGATACCAATCAGAGATTGTGCCAGTCAAGGGCTGCAGGATCTTTGGAAGTTCGTTAAGGGCACGAGCACCAAGTAACAGATATTCATTTGGTCTTATATTCAACTTCGCGTATGGATCGATATCATACGCGTCAAAAACAGTTTTCCTGTCAGCTACGAGCCATTGAGATGGTTGTTGCTGATTTCGAGGGGGATCTCTATCTCAAGAACCCAAATGATACCCGTCCGGTGCTCTTGCTTCGCATGATGAAGTCACTCGACGAGCTCCTCATTCGCGCCCTGTCCCTGGCGCTCAATGAACAGAGCGCCTATGACATTGTCGACGAGGACCACCTCAAGGCGACGGCAGCTGCTCTCGCGAAGCTGAGCTGTATGCTCCACGTCTCGGCCTCCTTGGAAGACGAGATACGGATCGGCATGACACAGGCGCCTTCGGGTGGCTCTGTCTTTCAGGCATTCATGAATAAGCTCCGGGAGATCCAGGTGCGCACGTGGTGTCTGCAGTACACCGTCCTGAAGACTGGCATCATCCAGCACACGGATGTGTTCCCAAAGCACGAAAAGCGACCTGGCCGAGTACCTCGCTGCGATCCACAATGTCCTGGGCCCGCGCAAGAGTTGCAAGGCTTCCAACAAGATCTTCCTCAAGATGATGCGGATGGAGCTGCTCAAGCTGAAGAATATTGACAACTGGGAAGACTACCTCGGACAGGTGCTGTATGATTTACACGGACTGAAGCTAGGCGTTGGAATCTGGGAGGTTCAGGACCACGGGTGTCCACCGGAAAAGCTCGAGCGGCGCAACACAATACAGCTGGCCGACAAGATTACGGTTCTCGCCCGACGAATGCCGATGAAGGACCTGCTAAAATCCGAGCTCAAGACAACCATTGAACATATGCAAGGCGCCATTGGCCCCGTCCGGTCAACACCACAGATGGTACACAACTTGCGAAACTACACAGAGTACTTCAAGCGTCCGGTACACCCCCTTCGTCTGTATCAAGCCCTGAAAGGCGGCGTCGAGCTCGATACCGTGTCCGTCAATGCCCCCGAGACGGTCCTCGCCAACCACGGTTGGTTCTTCCTTCTCGGGTCCATTGCTCTGAGCAAGTACAAGCTTGTAGATCTCAGCAAAAGGCAGACGCCCGGCGCCATGGATGACCTGCGAATCGGAGCGACCTTTCTGCGACACCAGCTGCAGTTCACGCCGAACAATTGGGAGGGCTGGTTCCGGCTCGCCGAATGCTTCGACTACGAAGTCGAGGATGCCGTTGTTTGGTCTGCTGACAAGATGAACAAGGACAGAGCTGAGCTTGTCAAGTTTCAGCGCAACTCGATCCACTGCCACACGCTCGCGCTGTCCAAGTCTGTGGGTGCCGACACGGACTATGAAGAGGGAGATCCGTTGCATGATCTCTATCACAATTTTGCCATGCGCTTGTACGCGTCGAGCCGGGAACCGTTCGCCATGGAGCCATTCCAGCACTCTAATCACGAGCGGACGTTTATCGAGAACACCGGCATGGGCACGTTCCAACGGGTCTTGCACAACCAGATGCAGGACTACAAGGTGTGGAAGTACGCGGCGGGCCTTTTCCACAAGGCCATGCGGAGGAAGCCTTGTAACTGGAGGTGAGTCATCAGCATATCGGTGGAAGAAACCCGCTAACCTTGCAGGAACCCATTCATGGCCTCGAAATGTCTGTGGAAAATGTATCAAACGCCAGATGAGAACCTGAGCGCCACGGACCGCGCCACGAAACCGACGGTTGACCGTGTCATCAAGGCGCTGGAGCATGCAATCGATGTCGCTTCAGCCGTGCCCAAAACTCGCAACAGCGACCCCATCTTGGAGCCTCACTACAAGATCTTGTCCATCGCGCAAAAGTTGGTGACACGGGGAGATCTGTCGTCTCAGCAGGCCACCATTATCCTCGCACGACAACCGTTTGGCATCAGAGCCGAGACGGATGATGGTGACACCTCTGAGGACACTGAAGACTGGGAGGAGTACGTGATACGAAGTCTACGGCACCTGCGTGACAAGGACAAGTCAAACTGGCAACACCGCATGATCGTCCGTCATGCGCGTCTGCTGTTCGACGACTCGGCCCAGTCCAACGCCGACTATGTGCAAGCCAAGGCCGCCTTTAACGTGCTTCGAGAGTCCATGTTCACCAAGACAATGGTCATGAACGTCTGGAAATGCGAGGCCGAACGGCCCGGGCGGCACCACGTCTTTACTGAGCAATATGTGCGCCTCATGGTCAAGATTCTTGTAGTCATGAGCGACAGGATCAGCCTCGAGGCGCTTCTGCGACGTATTCGCAAAAAGGGGACCGAGTTTTACCATTTTGCGGATCTCTGGCAGACCTGCTGCCACTCGTACCTTGCTCTCTTGCGACAGAGCCATAAGGTGCGACCGATCGAGGAAGACAAGTTCAAGTTGGTTGCGACGGAGGATTTCGAAATCATGGCCGACCGTCTCGCAGAGTGGGCCGGCGAGTTTGCAGGCGACCTGCCAGTCCTACAGTGTATGAAGGAGGCCATCGAGCTCAAGAAGCTCAATGGCGGTCTCATGAAAGCCGGCGCGATTGACGAGGTCATCAACGACTGCTACACCTACTTGTACCTCGAGATTGGTCCCACGCTGCCGGGACCCAGTCCAAGCGAGGTGCTCGAGGCCCGCGCCCGCGCCCGCGCCAGGGAGGAGGCGCAGAACGATGCGTCCAACTCGCTGAAGCCGCAGAGCACCCTCACCAACATTCTCAACCCGCCGGGCAGCCAGGAGGCAAACGGAGACGGCGAGAAGCAAGCCGAGGCGTTGCCCCGTAAAAAGGTGGGCATTCGCCGGCCGGACATTCTGCGCAGAGCCGAGCAGGTCTACACACGGGCCATGGAGGCGCCCAAATCTGCCGGCCTCGCATCCAAGTCTCGTCTAGGCTCCATCTCGAGCGGCAAACGCGGCAGCAACACGCCCAACGGTGGCGAAGCTGCCAGCCCGGCCAGCGACGGCTCCGACATGGACGAGCCCGTCGGCGATGATACCGAGATGAAGGACGAACCGACCATTGACGAGGGCGACGATCCTGATGCAACGGCCCAGATGACCGCAGCGTCGAGTCCTCGCGGTAGCATCCACGACTCGGCCGACGACGAGAGCGACCTGAGCGATGTGCCCGAGGGCTGGGATGAGGAGCCTCCCCCATCTATGCTGTTCCATGATATGAAGGCCGAGGACGGGCATCACAGCAGCGATGAGGATGCCGACGAGGCTGACGAGGAGGGTGACGAAGAGCAGGAGGACGAGCAGGAAGACGAGACGATGGGTGGTGTCGACGCCGACGTTGAGGACGAGACCATGGAAGCCCACGAGGAAGACGAGACTCTCGCTGCCCACGAAGACGAGACGCTTGGTGACCACGAAGATGAGACGCTCGGTGACCACGAAGACGAGACATTAGAAGGTCATGAGAACGATGAGACAATGGAAGGCCACGAGGAAGACGAGACCATTGGTGGTCTTGAAGAAGATGATGAAGAGGCGGAGGAAGAGGAAGAGGAAGAAGACGAGGAGGAAGCGGAGGAAGGGGATGAAGCTGAAGAGGCTGAAGAGGGCGACGAGGCTGAAGAAGATGAAGAGGCAGAGGAGGAGGGGGAGGACGAAGCCGAGGAAGCTGGAGAAGACGGCGAGGAGGAAGACGAGGAGGAGGAAGAGGAAGAGGAGGACAGTCGCGAGGTTTCCGACGAAGACGAGGAAGGCAGCGAGGCTGTCGAGACGGATGGCTAACAGCTTCATGTTACGCTGTGTTACGATAGGAGACGGATTCAGGCAGGGTGCTTGGGACAGCTTAGACAGATAATCATACAACACGGCTCCTGTTCGCCTTTGTTTTCTGTTATGCAGCAGGGTCAATACATCCAATCGGAAAACATTGCGTGGTTTCGGTCCCATGATCATTGAAAACGAAGGGCGATACTAGGTACGTCTGTGATGTGAGGCTCCCGGCCCACACCCACTATCCCTGTCCAGGCCCCCACTAGCCGCACGGCAAACGTCGCCCTTTCAGCCTACAGCACAGGGCAGCAGCTGGCAGCTCTTCCCGACTTCCATTGCAACCTCCAACCTTCCATCATTGAAAGCGATCCCAACCCACGTTTAACGCGACGACAATCGAGACCCTGCCGACAGAACTACACGCGGAACGCACAAATCACAGAAGCAAGCAAGAACCATGGCTTCCTCCGACACCAAGCCCGCCGACAAGACGGCGCAGGACCCCAAGGTCGAAGAGACGCAGAAGCCCGCCACCGCCGCGGCGCTTGGCGAGGACGACGAGTTTGAGGACTTTCCCGTCGATGGTGCGAAATGCCTGCATCGCCACTTGTGCGCCGTCGCTAATCGGAATAGACTGGAACGAGGAGGACACGGAGGCCGCGGGTGGCAACAACACGACGCAGCACCTGTGGGAGGAGAGCTGGGACGATGACGACACGAACGATGACTTTTCCGCGCAGCTCAAGTGGGTGTCGCCCGACCGCCTAATGACCTGATGAGCCAGTATGCTAATGAGTTACAGGGAGGAGTTGAAGAAGGTCGAGGCGTCGAAGCGACGGTGAGCAGAGAAAGAAAGAGAGCGGGCGCGGGGCGATGCTCGAAAGACGAAGCCCGGGCAGAAGGTCAAGGGCGTGACGTGTTACGATACAGGCTTAACAGATCAGCACGAGACATCAAAATACAGCATGCAGTGCGGCGATGGTGATAATTCAACGACGTTCAAGCTTCCATTTCTTTTTGTGGTGATATCTAGATATACTGGGCTCGGCAGTCTGGCACTACAAACGAGGCGCGCCTACGGCTTCCCGATCGTCAGACCGGACGCCATCAGACAGCTCATGGCTTTGAAAGCCTACTTACTCGACAGAGCAACGACACCAGGCAGCTCCTTGCCCTCGAGGAGCTCGAGCGACGCACCACCGCCGGTGGAAACGTGGCTGAGCTTGTCCTCGACCTTGTACTTGGCGGCCACGGTGGCCGTATCACCACCACCAATGATGACAATCTTGCCGGCCTCACAGCCAGCGACGGCAGCGTCGAGGGTGGCCTTGGTGCCGCGAGCAAACTTCTCAAACTCAAAGACGCCGGCGGGGCCGTTCCACAGGATCGTCTTGGACTCGTCAATGGCCTGCTTGTAGAGCTCAATCGACTTCTCGCCGCAGTCGAGACCCATCCAGCCGTCGGGGATGCCAGTCTCGTCCGTGGCCGTGCCGGTGTTGGCGTCCTTGTCAAACTTGTCGGCTGTGATGTAGTCGACGGGGAGGACGACCTTGACGCCGTTGGCCTTGGCCTTCTCGATGAGCTTGCCGACCGTCTTGGAGCCGGCCTCGTCAAAGAGCGAGTCGCCAATAGAGACGCCCTCGAGAGTCTTCTTGAAGGTGAAGGACATGCCACCGCAAATGATGAGCGTGTTGACCTTGTCGAGGAGGTTGTCGATGAGCTGAATCTTGTCCGAGACCTTGGCGCCGCCGAGAATGGCGAGGAAGGGGCGCTGAGGGTTCTCGAGCGCCTTGGCAAAGTAGTCGAGCTCCTTCTTCATGAGGAAACCGGCAGCCTTCTGGGGCAGGTCGACGCCAACCATAGAAGAGTGGGCGCGGTGGGCGGTGCCAAAGGCATCGTCTGCGCATGGTTAGCTCGGAGGGGCAACGCTGGATAAGCTGGCTGCTACGTACTGACAAAGACGTCACCAAGAGCGGTCAGGCCCTTGCGGAACTCCTCAACCTTGGCCTTGTCGGCCTTGACCTTGTTGCCGTTCTCGTCCTTGGAGGAACCCTCCTCCTCGGCGTGGAAGCGCAGGTTCTCGAGCAGAACGACCTGACCGCCGGTGGCCTTGTTCACGACCTCCTCAGCCTCGGGGCCGACACAGTCCTTGGTGAACTGGACAGACTTGCCGAGCAGCTTCTCGAGCTCGGCGACGACGGGCTCAAGGCTGTACTTGGCGTTGACCTTGCCGTCGGGGCGGCCGAGGTGGGACATGAGGACGACAGCCTTGGCGCCGTTGTCAATGGCATGCTTGATGGTAGGCACGGCACCGGCAATGCGCTGGTTGTTGGTGATCTTCTTGTCGGCGTCGAGGGGGACGTTGAAGTCGACCTGCGTCGATGATTAGCATTGGCATTGCGAGAGCTTTCTCACCGCGCGTTACAACGTACGCGGATCAGGACCCTCTTGTCCTTGAGATCAACATCGTTGATGGAGAGCTTGTTGGCGAGCGACATGATGGCGAATTTGTTTCGTCTATTGTTCTGGTGATGTAGAAAGTCCTGAGGCTTTTTTTCCAAATGGCAGTCGAGAAGAAAAGCACGCAGAGCTTCGATAGGGTCGAGGAGGTGGGATGGGAGGTTGAGTTATGGTGGGGTGATGGCATTAGATCACTCTGCATTTTTGGCGGGGTCGCTTCTGGCGGGCAGGGGGGCTAGAAGCTGTTGGGCAGGGCGATGGTGCTGGTGCAGGTACTGGCGCTCCCTCTGGCTCTGGCGCGGTGTGGGCGCTGCAGCTGAAGTGAGGGGCAGTGTTGCCTGGTTGCATCTATCGACTGGGCCAGAGACCTTCAAAGATTGCCGTCGCCGCCCGAGCACCAGCCGGCTTCCCGTCTTCTGCCGGTCGATATGCAGATGCGAAACGGAAGCGCAAGGTCTATTTCGAAGTAATCGTTTCACATGCAGTTATTCATATCACAGCGTTTGAAGACGAGCACTTGGACAACTTGCCATTGTAGATGCATCTAGAAACCAAAAACATTCCAAACGCCCAACACCCAGCGCCTGTGATGCATCCTGGGCATCAGCCAAATTTGCACCCACAAAACAAATGAAAAACAGTCGATCAGGTAGTTAGCCTAGGACAGGCGAATGTCAGAAGTGTGCTGGTTAGGCCTGTTGTCGACCTCCTCGGCCGAGTTGCTCAGGGACAGATAGGCCGTCCATGCGATTCCAATGGTGGACACAAACGGCAGCTGGAACTGCACGGGCATCAGGCGAAAGTTGATGACCTGCACCGCTGGCCACACCAGATAGTTGGCCTTGAGCGTCGGCACGTACATGTCGCGCAGCTTGTTGTACACGGCACGGCGGCCTCCTCCCTCGGCAACCGTCATGGCGGTGAAGAAGACGCCGAGACCAAAGGGCGCGAAGATGAGCTGGTCAAACGCGACGCGCTTCATGGCAGGACCGAACGCCGAGGTCTTGGACATGGGAAACGTCGAGGACAGAAACTTGAACCACTTGAACTGGAGCGGCGCCATGCAGAAGCCGTAGGCCATGAAGCGGGTGAGGCGCTCAAAGTCGAACGGCGGCGGCAGGGCCTTTGAATCGGGAATCAAGTCGCGGTCGATGAGGGGGTTCTTGCGATCGAGCTCGTGAATCTCAATCGCCACATCATCGTCCTTGCCGACGCCACCAGGCTGGCGAAGCGCCGTCTGGCGGAGCACCGTGATGGTCTGGGCAGTCGTATCGGCGATGCCACCGAGGATGGCATTGGTGACCATCATGGTCATGACTGAAGTTGGGTCAAATTAGCAAGACTACAAAGAAGGTATGTGTGTGTGTCAGGGAGCACCGGACGTACGGGGTCGTTCATCGTAGTAGGCGTTGAAGCGCGCTGTCAACCTCGCGACAAGGGCCATCTCGATGAAGAAGATGATGGCGTGCACCAGCGGCTACATCGTCGGTCAGCAGGCAGGATCACCAGTGGCAAACAGAGGTCCAATATACCAGGCGACCGTAGATGTATTTCGAGTTGACGGTACGGACGATACGGCGACGGCTAAGTTCCCAGGACATGGTGTTGGGGGTTAATATGGAAAATGGATTGGTGTTTTGTCAAGGGTGCCCTTCCTTGGTCGCGTAGAGATAAGGCGGGCAGTAGCCACCAGGGCAGGTGGAATGAGATGTCCGCTACGTCTCCCTGACAAACCCCAAGGGTACTGGGCGCACAGAGACACGCGGTTCAATGACGACAGAGGCGAGGCTGGAAACGGGGGTCAAGCGCGATCGCCGATGGCCGACAGTCTTGAAAGAGCGGCTGATGGATTGAATGGGATGGCGATTTGTGATGGAAGAAGTCGTCGTCGTCGTTTTGGTGAGCAGTCAGAGGACTTGCGTCGTCAGTCTCGGTGAAAAAGATGTCGAGAGGCAAGACGATGAAAAGGATTGACTGGAACGAGCAGTTTCAAGTGGCGCAGGAGGTCCTTGGTCGCCGCTCACGGCATCGATCCCCTGTTGATGCTGAGAACAGCGCCTCACTCGGGTCTGCCGGCCCCCATTCAGGCTCCTTGGGGTCTGCCCAGTTGGGCCCAGTTAGGCCTAGGGATCTCCAAGCCAAGAATCTGCCCCCACCACCAATCCTGCCTCGGAGGCCGTCAACGTACCATGTACACAGTCTCTGTGTGGGGAAGCACTGCACAGCGTCAAGCGACAGGGGCTCCTTAGCGCTCGTTCCGGGCGATCCGGCCGCCGTGCCAGCCGGCAAGTAGCGATGTGTACAGTGTCTGGACTGTATCAAGTAGGAGATTCTCATAGAGTGTCCATCACACGCTTCGGTCGATCTCGTCGAGTGTAGCCCGTGAGCTTTTTATATCTTCAAACACTACCTTAGGTACGTTGCTACCTACCCTTCTGCGAGCAGCCTCGTCCAATCAAACTTTCTCCATCCTCTCTGAAAACCCTCGACTCGAGTGTCGTCTCTCCTCCACCGGCCCTGCTTCTTGATGACGTCTGGCCCGACGTCCATGATCCCACCGACAATCTCTCGCGCAAACAAATCACCCCGCGGCCACTTGTCCGAGTTTTCGATTATGTGACCCAAGCCCCCATCCAGCGTGAACCAGACATGAAAGTAAGGCATCTCCTTAGCAATCGACCGCCGGAACGCCATGCGGCCCATACCCCCGGCCGCCTTGGCGCCCGTGTCAATGACCTTGCGATGTTGCGCCCACTCCTCGTCTGCGGACAGGAAAGCTTCTTTGAAGTACGCTGGCACCATGGCACCCTCCTCGTAAGGGATGGGCACGGCAATCATGGCCGCATGAAGGTGACGGTGCGGTGCCGCGGCGTTCTCGTAGAAGATGACCTCTTGTCCCTTGTCGTGGTACATCCGCGTCAGAGACTTCATAAAATTGCGCAGCTCCTCCCACTCGTCGTCGTCGCACTCCAAGAGGTTTTTGCGGTGCGTCAGGGGCGCAATGACAGCACCACCGGGACTGACCTCGGGCTCTGTCGCCAGCGTCAAGTAGACGCGTGTGCCCAGCGAGAGCACGGGCGCCAGCGGCTGCTGGTTCTTGTCTTCATGATAGCAGAGCGGACAGTTGTCGAGGATGCGGCTCAGTTTCTGGTATTCGTTGACAGCAACGTTTTTGAGGTTAATTTCCGACTTGTGTACCCGTTTCGCGAGCCTTGTCGGCATTTTCGTCCAAGTTACTTCGAGGTCGGTCGGTCAAACTTGCCGTCCTTGGCGATATCCGCTCTCAGGCCAGGTCGAGCGGCCTTCGCCGCCGGCTTTGGCCCGCGCGGTCCCTCCCGCTCCTCGCGGCACCATGTCCCTCGATGGTCATGTCATTCATTGGCTTCCACATTGCCCCGCTCCCGCCCGCGCTTCGTCTCCACGGCCTTGACCTCGCCGCGACTGCCGGCAAGCATCCTGTTGTCCTGAGCGCCGAGCGTGACGGATTGAGGGCCCTTGGTCGCAAAGCTAGCCGCGGCTGCGTTGTATTCTGACTCAAGCTGGGCGGCATTGGGAGCCCTCGTCAGCTTGGCCTTGACCATTTGCGCACGTAGCCTGTTCAGGGTGGTTTGGTCCATTGGCGTGTGCTGCATGGGCTCATCGGGAATGACGACGCCTTGCTCCAGTTCCTCAGGCGCTTCATTGGTGGTTTTTTGTGTGATACTCAGCTTGGCCATGCGCTCTTCATAGAGCTCGCCCGTCGGCTGCTCCTTGCCGACGTAGCCCTCGCCGTAAATCTGTCTCCGATCTAGCTCGCTCTTCTCTTCCCGCGCATCGTCAAACTCTCGAAGGCCGCCGAATCGTTCAAGAGCCACGTCCTCTGGTGTACGCCCGCTCTGGTCGGCCGCGGTGTAGACAGCCTTGAGCTTCATCATCCTCCACTGGGAGCCCGAGTCTCCAAACTTGTAGTTGAAAGTTCTTTCGGCCGGGCTATCCGGTAAGCTGACCTTGGGGGAATCGATCTCCTTGTTGATCTCGCGTTCATGGATGACTCGGGGTGGTTCTTCCTTTGGTGGGGGCTTTTGATCTTTTTCGCGTCGATGTACGTAGTCAACGTCCAGTGCAGACGGCGCTGTCATCCAAGCATCCCGGACAGGAGCGGCGCTCGGTTTCCCGTCAATCTCCGGCGTCTTCTCTTCGTCCGGGAGAGGAAGGTCCTCCTTGGGGTCGGAAGTCTTGTGGTGGTCGTCGCGTCGCCGTTTGTGCCTCGATTCTGACGCGTCGTCGTCTCTTTCGTGGCGAGATCGCTTATGCCTGTGGCCGTTATCGCCGTCATCGTTATGATGACGCGATCTATGGTGCCGGTGCCTGCGCTCGTCATCTTCTCCGTCGTGGCGTCGTGATCCATGGGATCGGTGACGGTCGCGGTCCTTGTCTCGATGCCTCTCCGAGGGCTCGTCGCGTTCGTCTCGATGATGGTGGGTGTGTCGATTCTTCTTGCGCTGCCTCCTCTCTTCCTTTTCCCGCTCAATTCGCTGTCTTTCGCCCTTTTCCGCTGCGAGCGCCTTTTCGAAATCGTCGAGTCCGTCCATTTTTGCCGTGTCACGAAATGGACCAGACTTTGGGAGCGACCCATCCATCAGACGTCACTTTTCCATAGCTGCAGTGCACGTCCCACATCCGGAAATCGAGGCCAGTGCAGGGATCTTGACAGGCCTTGCGCTGCCCCACGCTCTTGCCGCGGGGCATCTTTCTCTCACCTCCCAACCCGCCGTCGAGGTCTGCACCTTTTTCTTTTTGCGACAGCCTCCATCATTCCCGGCGTGACCGACCCCTCGACATGGCTTCTTCAGCTCCGCCCTCCAGCACTGCCAAGCAGCCGCCCGCCATTGTCTGCGTTGGCATGGCCGGTATGCACCTCCCGTCCGAACACCCCGGTATTCCGTTAATGTGATGTGCTTCGCAGGCTCCGGCAAGACGACCTTTATGCGCCGTGTCAACTCGTATCTCCACGGCAAAAAAGAGCCTCCCTATGTCATCAACCTCGATCCTGCTGTGATTAATGTCCCATTCGAAAGCAACATTGACATTCGCGACTCGGTCAACTATGAGGAGGTTATGAAACAGTACAACCTGGGTCCCAACGGCGGCATCCTGACGTCGTTGAACCTGTTCGCGACCAAGGTTGACCAGATTGTCAACCTCCTTGAGAAGAGGACGACGCCCGACTCAGCGAACCCAGACAAGGAGCCCATCAAGAATATTCTTGTGGACACACGTATGTTTCGCGACGACCCATTCACGCCATGTGACTGACAATCGCAGCCGGCCAAATCGAGGTCTTCGTCTGGTCTGCCAGCGGCACGATCCTCCTCGAATCACTCGCCTCTTCCTTCCCGACCATCATTGCATACATCATTGACACGCCACGCACCGCTTCGACCAGCACCTTTATGAGCAACATGCTATACGCCTGCAGTATCCTCTATAAGACAAAACTCCCCATGATTCTCGTCTTCAACAAGACCGACGTCAAGGACGCCTCCTTTGCGAAGGAGTGGATGACAGACTTTGAAGCGTTCCAAGCGGCCCTGCAGGAAGACGAGGCGGGCGAGGAGGGTGTCGGCGGTGGCGGCTCCGGGTACATGGGCAGCCTGCTCAACTCGATGAGTCTTGTGCTTGAAGAGTTTTACTCACACCTGAGCTTCGTGCCCGTGAGCTCCAAGCTCGGCACCGGCATGGAGGAGTTCTTCCAGGCTGTCGAGGAAAAGACGGAAGAGTTCAACAGAGACTACCTACCAGAGCTGCAGAGGAGAAGGGCCGAGAGGGAAGACCAGAAACGCCAGACGCGCGAGGCCGAGGTCGACAAGATGATGAAGGGACTTTCTGTGGACAAGAAGGACAAGGTCAAGGAAGCGGAGGCCCTCGATGACGGGCCCGACGTTGTCAGCGACATTGACGACGATGATATGCCGGACGAAGAGGGCGACAGGGAGGGCCTGCAGGCACGGTACGAAGCTTCGATGCTCGCCGAGGGCGATTCGGTCATGTCAGACGCCAGCTTTGCCAAATACCTGCATCAGCAGAGGAAGTAAATTGACGTCGCAAAACTTTGGGGGCTTGGCTGGACTGGCGTTTAGGAACAACTGCATTGCGATCAAAAGAAGATACCTGGGCTGCTCATCTCCCAAGCATGTACCAACACCAAACTCCGTGACCTGTGACCTCCGTGGCCGCCCCCTGGGATTCACCGCAGCTTGGATATCCCGCATTGGCAGACCTCGCCACACCACCTCGTAGCCTCATTCATCGTTCGTCCATCCCTTCATTGTCCATGCAGCATTCACCTCGCCTCGAACTGAACCATGCTATACGCTGTTAGCATGCGCCTACCCGCGCGAGAGCAAGTCAGCTTTCATACCGCTTGGTGCGCTCCTTGTACAGGATGCGGCAGCCGCACTCTTTGCATCGAATGGCGTCGCCGCGGCGCATCTGGAACTTGAGGCCGCAGTCACCGCAGAGGTATTGCATCTGAGGGCCGACCTCACTGCTGCTGCCACCGCCATAGGCGTCAAAGGACTTGCCGGTTGCGGCAGGATTGGAACCCTGGCCTGTGGGGACCTGGTAGGCTTCGCGAGACATGGTGCCGGTTTTCGTGGGTTGTGTCTGAGCAGATGGCTGGTTTGTTGATCAAAAGGTCGAGATGGGAAGTTTTCATTCTTTCTTCGATGCAAGGCTGTAGCGTGGGGCAGTCGCGTGGATGACAATTCGCCGGGCGGTGAGGCCGGATGGTGGCAGAAATTTATGGTGAGTCGAAGGCGGTCAGCCGCCAGCTGCCCAGGCCCACTTCCCGAGGTTCAATGATCTCGTACAGTTCCAGCTCCCATTTCACATGGACCACATAGACTTTATTTACCCTACGTCCATGTATTTAGACACGGAATTCGGTCTCTGACCATCAATCGACCGTGACACGGCTTGCGGATAATGACCGAGCTGATCAGATATCTCGACGACCCTCGTACCGACCACCCATCATGACGCCCGTATTCGACGCCGGCGTCGAGACGACGGACGCGAATTGCCCGTTTTGCGCCATTGCCGACACGTTTTCGCCGTATGACCCCCTCGAGCCGCCGTCAGATCACGAAATGGACCCGACACGGACATCTCCCGCCTCCTTTGTCGTCCTCTCCACCGATACGCTCGTCGCCTTCCTTGACATTATGCCCTTATCGAGGGGTCACCTTTTGCTGTGCCCGCGCGCGCATCGACCCAAGCTGACCGACGCCTCTGAGATTGAAGCTGCCGAGCTCGGAAGATTCCTACGAACACTATCCCGCGCACTGGCGAGAGTCACCGGCGTCGAGGACTGGAACGTTGTGCAGAACAACGGCGCCGCCGCCGCCCAGGTCGTCATGCACATGCACTACCACTTGATTCCGCGGCCCGAGATTCGCGCGAGTGGCCGTTTCAGCGAGAGCTTCACAATGTTTGGCAGGGGAAGAAGGGAAGAGCTGGATGATGACGAGGCCGAGGCTCTCGCGAGAGACCTGCGTGAGGCGGTGGCTGAGGTGCTCAAAGAAGAGGCAGATGACAGACGGAAATCGAAGCTTTAAGTCTCTACAGCATCAAGGTGCCGACCATTTCTGCATTTTTATTCATTCTATTTGTATTATTTTCATTCCTCGTCCCCCCGCCCCTAGTTTACTCGTCATCGCCGAAGAAAACCTTGATGGGCAGCCACGCGTCGCCGCACACCTTGAAGCGGTCGGGAATGCTCGACAGCTGCTTAATCTCGTCGTCGGTCAGCTCCCAGCCGTCGAGCTCATAGTTGGCGGCGATGCGCTCCTTGGAGACGGACTTGGGAATGACGCTGCTACCGCGACTCAGACCCCACAGGAGGAGAACCTGCTGAGGCGTCTTGCCCTTGGCCTTGGCAATGTTCAGCAGCGTCTCGTTCTTGTACAGGGGCGAGTCGGTGCTGCCGAGGCATGAATACGCCGTCGAGTGGATGCCCTTGGATGCGTTGTACTCGAGGAGCTTCGGCGACGGGTTGCAAGGGTGGAGCTCAATCTGGTTGACCGCGGGGACAATCTTGCAGGAGGGGTCGTTGAGCAGGCGCTCGAGGTTCTTGATGCCAAAGTTGGACACGCCAATGTTGCGAACCTTGCCGGTGCCGACAAGCTTCTGCATCTCGCGCCACGTGTCGACAAAGTCCCAGTCAGGGTGGTGCTTCTTGAGGTCCTCGGGATCGGTCGAGGAAGGCCAGTGCATCAGGTAGAGGTCGACATAGTCGGTCTGAAGGCTCTCGAGCGAAGAAGCGATGCCCTCTTGGACGCGCTTGTGCCAGGGGTTGTCGAGCTTGGTCGTCAGCCAAATTTCGGACCGGGGTACGCCCGACGCCTTGATGCCATCGCCGACCTCACGCTCGTTGCCGTACGCGAGCGCCGTGTCAATGTGGCGGTAGCCCTGGCGAAGCGCGGCCTCGACGGCGTGCTTGACCTCGTTGGGCTTCGACTGCCATGTGCCAAGGCCGACAGCGGGTAGCTTGTCGCCCGTATTGAGGGTAAAGGTACGGCTGGTCTGCGTAGTGCCAGACATTTTGATGTACGTTCAAGTGTAGGTAAGAAGCCTTCAAAATCTGAAGCGAATAAGACAGGTTAAGCAAGGGTATCGTGTAAAAATATGAAAGAGCTCACATACTACCAAGGTAGAGCGAAGGGGGAGTCTCGGCCTTAAGTAGGCTGCGAGAACAGCCTCTCGCCGACCTACCCCTCTACGATAGCCCGTGTTCTCCATGTCTTCCCCCCCCTGATCCTCTCCAAAAGCCAGTCAACGCGACCCTTCGCCCCTCCATCGCGTCGGAGCGTCTTGGGTGATGCTGGAACTTTTGCCCCACATCCTTGCTGTATCTTGGGGCGGTAATGACGCAGGTCCTCCACATGTCGGAGCCAACGTCACGTCTATAGCCCAGCAAATGAGATGGCTCTTCAATGTGGGTTTGCAGGACCAGAACTCGGCAAAAGTAGAGTGAAATCGCCCGACCATGCTGCTTGGTGGGGGGCGGCTTGGTCCGGCACCAGCCGGCACGGTCTCTGTTGGAGATGGATCGTAGAAGCGCACGTATCAGATTCCAAGCTGCGCGTATCTGGCGAGAGATGTCCCGACAAGGCGGATGGGATGTTCTGGCAGCGATGCAAGTTGCAGAAGCGCGACTCGAACATTCCACGTTTCCACGTGTATGGTCAATCTTGGTCGGATCGACAAATGCAACGACAGATGCAACATCCGGAGGAGAATCCGATGGGGGTCGATCTGGCGCCGAATCCTGATGCGGCAGACAGAAACCAGGGACGTTTCCGCTCGGCTGATCACTAGTCACTCATGGAGCAGCAAGAATATGAAGTCAGCCAGACTCCGTCTCGATGAAATCGTAATTCTCAAGTTCAGAGATTCAAAGCCTGAAATGGTCGGAGCATCGTGCCAAGAGATTCTGTTCCTGAAGGGACGGGATGTCGGCTGGGTCCACTGGTGGTGTCTGAGTGACATAACTACCCCGCCACTGGCACTCAGTCTTAGCCACCTCAGGCAGGACAGGCAAGAGCTACCCCGCCATCAAGTGCTAAAGCTCCAGCGTCAAGAACGTGACATGCACAACGACACTTGCATCAACAAACATTCCGACAACCAGCTCTCAACGCACGCATCCTCAATCACGCCTCCATTATATCTTCTTTATTCTGAAATTTAAACTCGGACGCCTCGTCAACGCGCCACAATGTCAAGCAAACGCATCTCCAAGGTCTGTTTGGCCCTTATGTCCACTCTCCCTTGACAGCGACTGATTTGTTTAGGAGCTCGGCGACTGCATGACGAACCCGCCCGATGGCATCTTGGTGGCCCTGAAGGACGAGTCGGACATTCACAACTGGAACGTCACCATGGCGGGCCCCAGCTCGAGCCCCTACGCCGGCGGTCACTTTGCCCTGGCCGTCAGCCTCCCCACGGACTACCCCTTCAAGTCGCCCACTGTCCGCTTCCTCACACGCATCTACCACCCCAACGTGACCAACGATGCAGATGGCAGCATTTGTCTGGCGACGCTCAAGTCGGAGAATTGGAAACCCTCGACAAAGATCACTGCCGTGCTCGAGGCTGTTCGTCAGTTGCTCATTGAGCCCCAGCCGGACGACCCTCTCGAAGCGCGCATCGCCGACGAGTACCGCAACAATAGGGAAGAGTACGAGAAGAATGCCAAGACATATGTGACTCGGTACGCCAAGGGACCAGCGAACTTCGACACCGCCCCCGAGTCAAAGTGAGCCCAGTTTGCCGGCTGTGGCGCTTGCCAGTCGGCCGCGCAGTGTTGTGGGTATGGCGTTACGGCCCGCCTTGCAGTGATGAGACATGCGGGCGGCGGGGTACACACGGCGTTTGCATCGGTTCGGACACGTAAATTGATTTTGCTCTCAAGTCATGTATTATTCCCAGCGAGGCCCAACCATGAATACAAAGCGCTTTTCGTATACACACAAACAATCCTCGACCAGGGCATTATGTAGCCGCCATGATAAGGGGAAAAAACCTATCATAGCCTCACTCCTCGTCACCACTCTTTGCCCTTCTCCTACTCCCCTTGCGGAGCCCATCAATACCGGATCGCACAGCCGCGAGGCCGTCGCCCGCAGCCTTCTCGCCACGCTCCTTGACAGCGTGCTTCTCAGCCTCGTCTTTGGCATCCTCAATCACGTTTCTGCCCACGCTCGTGCCGTGAGCCCAGTCCAGTAAGCCCCACGCGCCGTAATTGCCGCGCCCCCCGCCGGCGTAGTGACCAGCCGTGCGCCGTGTGATGCCGCCCATCATGATCCCCGGGACCGTCGAGTACCCACTTGTTGCCAGCGTCTCCTCGAGCGTGCAGAGGCCGACAAAAAGGAAGTAGGTCAGGAGATGGGGCCTCAGCACCAGAGATGGGAGGTAGAGAGGCAGCACACGGTGGACGAGAAAGGGGAGGGGGTGGTCGGCAAAGAGGAGCAGAGAGAATGGCGGCGCGCTGCGGTGGTGGGCGTGCTTCTTGTGGAGGGCGGCCAACGAGTTGCGGCCGCGCGAAGGCGCGTGGAGGACCCTGGCGTGCAGATAGTACGTGATGAACTCACGGACTGCGAGCAAAATGGTGATGTGTTTGACGAGCTGCCATGGGAACGGCAGGGTGGTCGAGGTTGTGAAAATGGGTGTCTGAAAGGCGGTGGTCCAGGCAATGCTGATGCCTGCTTCAAGGCCCACGGCAAGGGCAAGGTTGACAACGGACAGGCCGAGAGTGCGCGCCAAGAAGACCGGGTCCGTCGGGGGGAGAGCAGAGGTGCCCCCATACTTGAGCGACTCGGCAAGGGTAGGGATGAGCGTGTCGAAGAGGAGGAATACTAGCGAGGGGAGGAGCCAGAAGACGAGGCGCAAAGCCAAGGTGCCCATGAGCTCAATCTTGAGGGCGCTGTGCGATAGAACGAGGGTTGTCCAGGTCATGTAGAAGAAAAGTAGGTTGAGGGAGGTTGACCATGAAGTTACGGACGGCGCGAGAAAGTACGAAATAATGGGCAGGGACATGAGGAGGTCCATGATGGGCCAAGAGACACGCAAGATGCGTCGTGTTTGGTGTGGTTGATTTTACTTTGCGGTGTGTCAATTCAGGACGGACTCTTTCTTCACGGCGTGGTGATGGAAGGTTCAGACTAAGAACAGCTCCGACATGTCAGCCTCGGGCAATACCATGACGTTCCGATTCCCTGATCTTGGCAGCAACGTGAGGGCCAGAGAAGGATGACGTCGGTGGTGCTTCCGACTCGGTGAGGCTCGGTGTGATGCCCAATGGAAACCAGGGTCTGACCACCTTGGCGACCTGACAAGCACATGTCTCTCAGCTCCCACAGCACAAGATCAAACTGCATGATTGTCCCAAGATGGCATGAATCCAGACGAGAGCCGTGACTGAAGGGCCGTGGCGACTCATGACGGTTCCACGGGTCTTCTCCAGCTCTCCAGCCGCGCACCACCGGGCCCGGCTTCATCTCAACTCCTCAACCCATCCTTCACGCTCGCACCCGGCAGTGAACTAGGTCTGGGGGAGTCTCCATCTTTAATGTTTTCCCGTCACGTTGATCGTGTCCGAGCACCAGGAACAAGTCGACGCACAAAAATGGAGCGTAGCGTCCAGCGTCCAGGGGTAATCTCCAGATCCCTGCGTCTGGTCAATGAGACAGGCCTAATGGCGGGCCCGAGCTATGCCTTGTTGAGAGGTCTAAGCGGGATTGAGTCGCCTGAAGAAGACTTGCGCACGCTGGGCATCGTGGGAGAGGCATCGCGAAGACAGGCTCGTTGCCGGCTGTAACGATGTCTAGAGCACCGACGGTAACGAGGATAGTGACAGACCATCGGATCATTTCCCGTATAGAAAGCTCCCGATTAAGTGAAACCAAACAAGAGTGCGTCCGCCCGCCAGAAGTAGCATAGATGGCGCTGCAGCCAACGAGGAGGCCGCCATGCTGGCCTCCCGAATGGTAGGGTTGCAATTAATTACAGCATCCGCTAATAGGGGCCCTGGTGACCCGACCAGGCTGCACAAATGCATGCGCCTTGGGGGGTTCCTGCACCTTCTGATGAGAAGCAGGTGCTTCTCTGCCTGCGCCTGCCAATCGACGAGGTCCCGTTCCTGAGATTGTCCCTCTCGAAGAATGGCCCTTGTTCCCATCCTGAGCAAAGCTTCTTCAACAATACATCCATCCGCGTCTGCCTTCCATCTGTCTCTGCCCTCTGCTTTTTTTTTTCTTCTTCTTCGGTTCGTCCGCTGCGGCTGTGCGTGGCTCGAGCTCTCCCTCTTTCATCGCCCGCGCGGCTCTTTGATCACGGCCTTTACTGCCCTCACCACCAGATCCAGCATTTTCGCCTCCCCTTAAAACAGAACCATCTCGGTGGTCACCGAATCCTCCCCCCTCCACCCCCTCGGAGTCTGCGCGCGCCCGGTCCTCGTCTGAACGTGCGACGCCAATTCTCTGCAGCTAGCACGAACAAAGGCGGCCACTAGAACTACTCCGCTGCTGCACTCCATCTGCACTCTGCAGGATCCCTACGCCCCCCTCCTGCGCGTGTTGTCTGGTCCTGCCGCCGTCTGAGGAACAACCCGCTGCATGACCAGAGACACTCACCGTCGGGCTCGTCCACCGAGACCAGCCTAATAAGACAAGCGGATCAACTGTGTCGCTTCAGATCGGCTCCTGCCCTCCGGCTGTTGCCGCTGTCGCTGTCGCCGTCGCTGCCGCTGCCAACGCTTGCTTCTGTTGCCATGTCTGACCTAAGGGACGCCGCTCCCCCCCCTATCCCTCAGCGTACCCGCCATCTCCACGTCCATCGCCATCGCGACCACGGCACCACCACCCCTCCGCCCCCGGGCACCACCAGCAGCAGCAACAATAACAATCATACCGCCGCCTCCGACACGTATGTACGTCGCCGCTCGCTGCAGGGTCCTGCTCAGCCTGCCTCGCCTGAAGTCATCTCCTCTCTCATCACGAGCCTCTCCGTCATTTCCAAACCCGCCGACCGACACTTTGAGTCTCCGACGCTGACCAGCCTCTCTCTCCCTTCCTCGCCCCGTCACGGCAGTCTCGTCAGCAACGGCAGCTTCGGTGTCGACTACGGCGCCTTCTCACAGCCCTCCCTAGGTGATCTTCGAGAGGAGACGGTATCCCTCGACGAGCTCGCCGCCAGCTCGCCCGTCATCCGAACCGCCAAACCGCCCTCCGGCTTCTCCCCACTCACCGCACCAAAGTCCCCCTCACGCGACTCTAGCGGCGGTTTCAAGTCCATCCTGCGAAACAGCTCACGCCCCTCCTCCCGAAGTTCCCTCGGTTCCCGCGATGATACCCAGAGCATAGGCAACCTCTCTGTCGAACGTGGTGTTGCCCCTGCCTCCGACTCGACCCGGAGCCGCTCCCGATCGCGTGACAGCTGGGGACGGAAACAGGGTAGGAGCCATAAAGGTCTCATGTACATGAGCTCCAAAGAGCGACTGCGAGAGAAGGAATACGAGAGAAAGCGCCTCAGCGGTGCTGCTCCTGCTAGCCGCGCCTCCTTTGACGATACACCCTTGAGTACCGGCCTATCGCCTCGACCCGATCCCTTTCTCGCCGAGACACCCATCAGCGAGGAGCCACCGATACATTACGACCCGCCCACGAGGGAGCCTCCGCCACGGCCTGACCACGCACCCACGATGGACCCCTTACCGAGCCCGCGACCCATCCCGACGCGGGACTCATCGCTACGCAAGACAGGACCCAACGCCAAGAGGTCTTCCGTCCGGAACTCCCGGTCGAAGCGAGACGGAGAGAGCAGCGCGATACCCGAGGACGACGAAGCTCGTAACAGCAACAGGTATTTGAAGGACCAGTCCTGGTATAACGAAGATGGAGAGTCGAGCAAGAAATCGGCCGACCTCGGCCGTAGCTCGCAACGGTCGTCCGCAAACATGACCGCCACGGGGAACAGCCGTGCGGATGAGATTCGCGTCACGAGTCCGCAGCCTCAGGACGATCTCGAGGACGGCGCGCCGTTCCCTGCCGTCGCTCAAGGGCGGCGCCGTGACGAGCATAGCACAGACCGCAGCAGGAGGAAATCTGGCCGGCAGACGCCCGACGCCAACGAGGCCGTCCGATTGAAGCGCAGTAGCTCCAGGCTCAAGCGTCTATCGGCTCCCTTGAGTCCGCGATCAGAGGGCGGAAGCGGACGCAGCGACATTGCCTCGCCCGAGCCCGTAAATGCCATGCCTTCGGGGTACGAGCGCCCTCGTAGTGCCGACTCTGTCGACGATGCCGTCGAGTCCTACCTGTGCTCGCCGCGGTTGTCTCAGAAGATCAGGCATCCCCAAACTGGCCGTGTCATATCCTTTTCGGAAGTCGGCGACTCGGAGGGCTCGGCTGTGTTCTGTTGCGTCGGAATGGGCTTGACACGATACATCACGGCCTTTTACGACGAGCTGGCGCTGACACTCAAACTCCGCCTCATCACGCCCGACCGACCCGGCGTCGGTGACAGTGAGGCCTACGCAGACGGCACGGCGACGCCGCTCAGCTGGCCAGGTGCGTCTTCTCGTGATTGCTGTTCTACGGTTGCTGACATTGTGTACAGACGACGTCTACGCCATCTGCCAAGCCCTCAAGATTACCAAATTCTCCATCCTTGCCCATTCTGCCGGGGCCATCTATGCGCTGGCGACGGCCCTCCGCATGCCCCAGCACATCCGCGGTCGCATCCACCTCCTCGCGCCCTGGATCCCTCCTTCGCAGATGAATGTATTTGGCACATCGCAGACACTGCCGCCCACCAACGCCATTCCTACTTCACAACGCATCCTCCGTGCTCTGCCGACACCGTTTTTGAAAGCCGCCAACAGCTCATTCATGTCGGCCACGAGCAGCTCCATCACGAGCTCACTACCCAAGAACTCGAATCGCCGAAGCAAACGCAAGTCAACCAACACGACCGGCCGCGATACGCCAGCGGCGCGGCGGCGATATCACGCCGAGCATGGACAAGGAAAACCTCGGCCAGACCGGCTATGGCAAGGGCGGCATCGACATGGAATCTTCATTGGGACCCGAGAGCATGGACCGTCTACGCGCACCGCCTTCGGGTCAGTACGGAGCCGGCTCGTCAGCTCCCTTGGATCCCGAGAGCGCCATGCTGGCCGCCGCTGCAGACGCCATGGCAGACAAGGAACGCCAGCTCACATACGACACGAGGTTGACGCATGCTATTTGGGATCTCGCAACAACAGGCGCCAACCCGGCCGTGGACCTTCTCGTCTGCCTCGAACGGAGGCACACAATCGGCTTCCGCTACGTGGATATTACGCGACCTGTTGTCATCCACCATGGGAGCCGAGATACGCGCGTTCCTGTCGACAATGTTAAGTGGCTGGGCAAAACTATGCGGCGATGTGAGGTACGCGTGCTCGAGGGCGAAGGCCATGGCCTGATGGCGAGTGCCGGTGTCATGGGTTCGGTACTCATGGAAATTAGCAAGGAGTGGGATGACTGGATGAAGGTGACAGGGAACGGTGGCAAGAAGGAGGAGAGGGGCCGTCGAGGGACACTCGGAAGGTCATAGATTTGATGGATCGGCGTTGCGTGGTGATATCGGCTCCATTTGAGGAGCCCGAGACGAGAGGGTGTTGGCTGTCACGACTTGTATCATTATCAGGCAGCATTGAGGATCACAGCGGGTGATCTACCACTGCGACTACATTTAGTAAAGTAATGTGTTAATCTTATGCAGAGTTGCAGTGTGGTCCCATGACTGAAATTTGTGCTGCATATTTGGTCATCGTGGCTGAATGAATACGTTGTTGGTTTTTTGGTCTTCAACTTAGTCGATCATAATGGCGTTTTTTTTTTTTTTTTTTACCAAATCTTCGTTTCCAGCCGCCAGCATGTTAACCTTCGACCTATTAATATGTGAACTTTATGCGCAGGACCATGGATATTTCATTTGCACAGCATCGGCATGCAAATGACGCTCTCGCAAGCTGGCGGCTGTAAAGAAAGGATTCCCATCATCAGCTCCTGTTCGCTTGAAGCTCGACTAAAGTCCCGGCGTGATGTTCCCGTCACCTTGTCGCGGCGTCCACATTTGACCACTCGAATTTACAAACATCGCCGTCGGTGCAAGGCATATATGTTGCTTAAAACGAATGCCAATGAAAATAGGACCATTGAGAAGAAGAGCGTTTGTCTTGCGACACAGTTTGTGATGCCGAGTCTGCTTCAATACGTACCGTTATTCGTCGTCATCACAATATATTCGACCACTACTGAGTCAATTCCGTAAAATCAATCTCAGCTAGCGTTTCGTGAGAAATTGAGTCTAAGGCGTACTCGGGGGGTCATCTTGCTCATCCTGTTCGTGAAAGCCACCTATTGTGTACGACTCGGCCAGCAATGCGAGGCGCGTACATCGTCTGCGAGGCCTGCATGAACCACAAGAAGCATCCTCTTAACAGGCGATAAGCTTCCACCGACAGACTTCACTCCGAGTCCAGTCCTGAATCAGTAGGCGACCATCACAGCTTCCATGATGCTTCTGCCTCGGTCGTCTGCACTGACTGCAAAGCAGCACTGAGCCGCAGCCGAGGCCAGGCGCCTGCGGGCTCGGATGGAGGCGCGTGGGTCGGAGAATGGCCCGCAGGTCAGGCGAGATGCTACGATTGGAGAGACGAGCGAAAGGGGCAACGACGCGACTGCAGGTCGACGATGGGATCGGCCAGATCCTCACGGATGCATCGTCACGTCTCGCACGATTGAAAGGGTCACGGCCTAAAGAGGCGGTACATCATGGGATTGCCAGGATGCGAATGCAACGGAGCGTAGGGATGTTTGTTGGGAGCTAGCTAAACAGAATCACTTGCGCCGGATAACCTTCCGCATGCACCCCAACGCCTCAAGGGGAAACGAAAAGAAGCATGCAGCCTCGCGGGCAAGCAATGCGCGCGCATCACTCCTTGTCGTCGCCATCTGCCGCGACGGCCTTGGCGTCGCCGTTAGCCTCGGGAGCAGCATCGGTCGCTTTGACCGTCATGTCAGGCACATCGGCAGCGGCCTCCTTGATGCCTTTCAATGCATCGTCGGCATCGGCCTCCTCGTCTTCGGCGTCGTCCTCCCCCTCCTCCTCCTCAGCATCCTCATCCTTCTCAACAGCATCGGTCTTTTGCCGTTTGGCAGGTGGGGCTTGATGTGGTCAGCAAATCAAGAAAGCACGGGCTAGGGAAGACTTACCATCAGCGCCGTTCTTTGTTTCGGGTTCATCCTCTTCGCCCTCGGGATCTTCGTCATCCTCCTCCTCCTCCTCTTCCTCCTCCTCGGACCCTTCACCGCCTCCGGCTTCGTCGTCGGTACTCTGGTACCTGGTATGGTCAGTAAGGATCTCAAGCATGCGCCGTGGTTGGACCTCGAAGGCATGTTTGGCGCAGAATGAAAAGTTCGTAGCAGCTTTGCAAAGCCTGGCGCAAACATGTGGATTTTGCGCAGACTGATAACCAAGGCCGAACACAACGGGCTTAGGGGACCGGGCTGGCTGGTGACTTACTCTTCCTCCTCCTCGCCATCGTCATCTTCAGGGAGGGAAACAAGCTCCTCCTCCTCCTCCTGCTTTCTCTTACGGGTGGACATTGTGTCTATCGAGTTTGTAGGGGTTCAATTGATGGGAAAGTCTCAGGGTGGGCGAGCACAAGGTGGGCAGATCGAGGTATAGTAGAAGAGAAGAAAGAAGAGAAGGAAAGCTGGAGGAGGGGAAGAGGAGGTAATGGGGGAGGGAGGGGGATGGCCGGCGGTGGCAGCGAGACCAGAACAGGCTGTTGCGTTGCTGACGGGACGGGGAGCTCTCTGGAGCAGGAACAGGAGCAGCTCCAGCTGGACCTGGGGGGACTGGAACGACCAGAGCTGGGGGAGCTGCCGGACTTGTCGCACCCACCGAAGGCGCGGATGGACGGGAGAGCGGGTGGGCAAAGAGAGCCCAGCCAGGCACCGGTACGGGTACTTTGCGGCAACAGGTCCCTCACGCAAACAGCTTTGGTGCGTCAGCCCGGGAGAGGTACATCGCTCCCGGTACTGGCGCTGGCCGTCGAGGGGAGGCTGGGGGAGAGAGGGAGGGGGGCACCTCAGTCGGCTTGGAGCTTCGAGTGAGCTCCCCCCCTCTCGCGCAATGGCTTGGTGGAATCGATCTGGGCAGACGGACAAAGCTGGAGCAAGGGCCCGAGGAGGAGTGACAGGATTGGCCGATCTGGTTGGTCAGACCAAGGAGCTCGGTCCTCCACCACACACCGTCACCATCCCTGTGCAGGCCACGAGCGACTGCGTCTTGCACAGAGAGAGCGTACTTGGTATGTCCTGGTGGGCC